CGTCAAAAAAATGCCTTAAATCACTATTAATTAGAGAAATGTAAATTAAAATAACTCTGAGGTACCTCCTCACACCTATGGAGTTAGCTGATATGATAGAAAAGGAAAATGATAAATATTGGAGGGGACATGGGAAAATTGGGACACTAATACATTGTTGGTAGAGTTGTGAAGTGATCCAACCGTTCTGGAGAGCAATTTGGAGCTATGCCCAAAGTAAAACTGTGCATACCCTTTGACCTAGCAATCCTACTACTAGGTCTGTATCCCAGAGAGATGTTTTGGGGTGTTTTTGGTGAGGCAATTGGGGTTATGTAACTTGCCTAGAATCTCATAACTAGTGAGTGTTATAGTGTCCAAGGCTGGATTTGGATTCAGGTCCTACTGACTTCAGGGCTAGTCCTGTATCCACTGCACCACCTAGCTGCCCCCCAAAGAGATTTTTTTTTTAAAGAGAAAAGGACAATTTGTAAAAAAATATTCATAGCAGCTCTTTTTGTTGTGGTAAAGAACTGGAAATCGAGGGGATGTTCATCATTTGGCTAAACAAGTTGTGGTATATGAATGTAATGGAATACTATTGTGTTATAAGAAGTGACGAAGATGATTTCAGAAAAACCCAGAAAGACTTTCATAAACTGATGCAAAGTGAATTGAGCAGAACCAGGAAAACATTGTACAAAGTAACAGTAATATTGTATAATGATCAACTATGAATGACAGCTATTCCCAGCAATACAATGATCTAAGGCAATTCCAAAGGACACATGATGAAAAATGCTATCTATCTGCAGAAAAGTAATTGGTGGAGTCTGACTACAGATTGAAGCATGCTATTTTTTGCTTTTTTCATGTTTTTTTTTCTTTTTGGCCTATGTTTTCTTTCATAACATTACTAATATGGAAATACGTTTTGCATGATTGCACGTGTATAACCTGTATCAAATTGTTTATCATCTCAGGGAGAGAGAAGGGAAGGGAAGGAGAGAGAGAAGGGACTTAGAACTCAAAATTTAAGAAAAAGAATGTTAAAAATTATTTTTATGTGCAATTGGGAAAAAATAAAATATTATTTAAAAAAAAGAGTGAATGAAGCAAAAGAAGAATAGCTGAAACCAACAGGCCTTTTCTGAATGTCTCTGTGGCCAATCAAAGAGCCTCCCTTTCAACATGTGGTTAGCCAACTGGAGCCAGTCATGGAATATCTATGCATGCTCTGTAGTCTCTCCAAGGAACTTCCATTACCTGGCATTGTAGTTCTCCTGGAAGCAAGTTTCCTAGTAATTCTTTGTGGAAAGATGCCATCTTGCATGTTCTGAGCATGCATCAGACCCCTATTACATAGAAAATTAGTTTTGGTACTACTTGGACTGAGAGTCCAAGGAAGGAAGGGGAGACCATGCTTTACAGTCTGGTACCTGTTCTTCCTAACAGAAAATCACCAACCACCATCCTTTTCAGATTTCTGAAAATGGAGGCATTTATAGCACCCAGGGATCCAGCAATGGCTACTACATTAGAGGCTTGGGTGGCTGTTGTTATTGTTATTGTTATTTTTTGTACCACTGTAGGCCACCTTGTGTTCACCTTGAATGTTGTAATAACTCCCTGACTGCTTTCATAGAAATAGAGCTATAAGAGGTCTCAGAAACTACCTAGCCTAACTCCCTTGTTTACAAATGGGAAAACTGAGGCCCAAGAAGGTTAAATAACTTATCCAAGATCACAAAGATAATAAGCATCAGAAGTGGGATTTGAACTTGGGTCCTATACTCCAAAGTCAGCGGACTTTCTGCTGTACTTTGATGCTTCCAGTCTGTTCTCTCTACTCTGTACATATTACTCCATAGACCATTATCAGATTTGATCTTCCTAATTTGGAGAGCTAATCATGATACTCTCTTACTCAAAAACTTTCCCCATTAGGGACTCCCCATTAGTTACTGAATAACTGCTTAGCATGGCATTTAAGCACTTCTGAAATTCGGCTCTAATCTTTTTTAGACATTTTTCCCTCACATGCATTAGGCTGCAGCCAAACAAGAATATTTACCCTTCCTCAAATATCCCCCATGATGGTAATAATAATAATGGCATTTATCTAGCTCTTTAAAGTTTGTAGCTTCTGCCTAGGATTTCCTTTGTCATCTTTGCTCCAAAGCTTTCTCTGATCACTCCTAATGGAAAGTGGTCTCTTCCTCCTCTGACCCTCCCTGGCACTTTGATCCACTCTCATTGTACATTAGCATCCTGTTTATTATTACAGTAACCTGTGAATTTATCTTATTCCTCCATTAGCCTATAAACTCCATGAATTTAATTCTTTTTTGTATTCTCCAAAGCACCTCCCCTCATCTCTTACATGTTATAGGTGCTCAGTAAATATTTGTTGAACAGGTGAACATTCTGTCCCAAATTTCAAGCTGACTTTCACATTACCTACCCTAATGATTAACTATCACATTTCTAAGCCCACTAGGATTGAAAAAAAAAAGCAAAACATCAAAATATTTTCAGGTGAACAGCCTACATCCCTTGGTATACAAAGATAATGGACTTGTTAAGCTGTTAACAGGTCTTGGTTTTTCAGTTCCTTTTTTCCCCGTAGCAGCAGAAATGGTTTAGGATTAAATGCTTATACTCTACCCTCCCTGATGATCCTTTTCTTAGCAGCACACACTCATGAGCTGATGATAAGCAGGATTAAAGGAACGGTGTGGTCATGGCATAAGCCTTTTTCCAATATGTGTAGCCTTTGTCCTTGGCTCGATTAACATCAGGTACACATTAATGGAGCTAGCCAGCCCATAAATGGGTAAATCCTTATTTTTTTTAATGAAAGCAATTTTCCAACTTGGGCTAAGAGTGATAATCGGTCAGGTTGTCCTGGGGCATGAGAGATTCCTGGGGGTAAAGATTTCACATTTCCATTTATCATGCATTTTGCCTTTGGACAATAGAACCAGGTTGTTAACTATTTATGACATGAAGTTGAAAGTATTAATGGAAGGAGGAAGAAGAAAAAATGTCATTACAACTTGACCTAGAAAACAAGTATATATTCCAAGGAGATCAACCACCAAAAGAAAGACCACCAAAATATTTATGGTACCACCTTTTTTGGTAAAAAAGCTAGAAAGAAAGAAAATGAACAAGTTTTGATACGTGACTGCAATGGATATTATTTCTTTGTAAGAAACAATGAATGCGATAAATATTTAGATGCATGGGAAGACCTGAATAACAATATAGAGTCACTACAACAATGTAAATGGAAAGAATACAAAAATGAATAATATGGAAGGCTATGAAATAATGACCAAAGAAGAGGTACAAGGGGGCATGTCCCCACTTTTCACCTTCTTTGCAGAGGTGAGAGAATTTGTGTGTGAAATACTGCATATCATGTCAGGCTTTTTGGTTAATTTTGCTGTATTGACCTCTTCTCCCTATTCCCCCTATTCTATACTTATAAGGGATGGCTCTCTGGAGGAGGAAGAGGAGGGAGAGGCATTTAGGGAAATGTTGGTGAGATAAAAATAAAAGATATTAAAATTGTGTTTAAAAAAATCAAGTAGAAAACCTATAGTCTGGGGGCAATAAAGACAAACATCTATTTCCCAATTTTGACCAAGGTTGGGACCTTTGTTTCTGAGATTTTTTGCTCTGCAAGTAGAACCCCTAGGACATCTATGATTTTTCTCCCTATCTTTGCCTCTTTAAATCCTCTCAAGGCTCCAGGATGGAGAATGGGGGAAGTAGACAGTCAGCATTTGTGCTTTCTGCATATTATATATCAAAGTAACTGGGTGAATAGGAGGTAGGAAAGGTCTGGGACATTCTGCTTTCCTCATCTTCTTCACATTCACTGCCCACTCATCTTGTTGGGCTGAGCTGCATCTATCTCCTCCTGCAGTTGCTACTGGTCATCAGGGTAGGTGGCCAGGTTATAAACAAAGAAGGAAAGGACAGAGATTATAGTTTCATGGCCATCAAAATGAAAGATAATGAGTGGTTCCAGGCTTTCATCATTACTCAGACCTAAAAAGAGGGGAAGTGCTATCCTTTTTCCTATCATTTAGGCCAAACACAAGAATTCAGTAGAAGGGAATCCATAAATTCAAAATAAAATAAATTTTTAAAAAAATTTAAAAAAATATAACAAAAAAGAAGAGAATCCATATGAGACTCCCCAAATGCTAGGAAATATTGGGAGACTAGACCTTTGATTTCAGTGGTACAGGGAACTCCCAGCAAGGAAACACCCTACAACTTATATAGCCTTAGAAAACTGATCACCCCACAAATGATTATATTGCTTGTCTAGAGTTAACGTGTCAAAGGTGGGACTTGAACCCAAGTCTTCATGCTCCAAGGCCAGATCACCAGTACTAGATGGTGAAGTACTAGACCTGCTGCCTCAGTCTGAAAGGGAAATATTTGTGCTTCACAGTTACAATAAGTACAATGCTTACAGTCTTTGTAGCCTTAGGCAAATCACTTAGCCATCCTGGGCCTCAATTTCCTTACCTGACTAAATGATGTCTGAGGTCCTTTCCAGTATAGATTTATGATCACAGATTTTATTTTCACCATGAACACCTTGTACTACCCTGCCAAATGTCAATACTATATATTTTTTAGAAAGTGTTGTGTTGAATTTTTCATATATTTAAAAAGTTCTCTAGAATTCCTTGTTTCTTTCAAGATTCAGCTTAGATGCCATCTCTTACACAAGAACTTTATTAATAGCCCCATTTAGTGCTCTTTTCCCTCAAATAATTTTGTATTTATTTGTGAATGTGTTGTATTCCTGAGTTGTTTCCCTCTCTCTCTACCCACCCCCAGTCCCCCTTTCCTCGCCAGCAGAATGTAATTTCTGTAAGTAGATTGTATCCCCAGCACATCGTTCACACATTAGGGACTTTAAAAAATTCATTTGGTTTGGATTTGGTGCATGTAATCTCTCAGCTAACTGAGAAATTTTACATCTCTTTTGGATGATGCTTACAAACATTTATGCTTGAGTTACCTTCATGGGAGTGAATCTCCTTATCTTTAGAGGCCTGGGAATCAATCATTAGCTACAGGAAATGTACTCCCGCTGTGAACAGAATAGAAAGCTTTGATTAGAAAAAAAGAAATCATCTGTGAATCTATCTTGCCTCTTAGTAACTCAGAGCAGGATGGACAACTAAAGAACAGAAGAGTTAGAGGCATTTTGTGGTTCTAGCTCAGTGATAAAGTTAGAATTCAATGCAGATATATAGGTTCAAGGGTTCTTCCTGGTGAAGTAGTCTGGTCCTCATGTGCATGTAAAAAGGCTTGAGATAGGATACTTAGAGTATGAAAGATTCTTTCCCAGGGCTCTGGGAAATTAAGGCCACATCCCTGGGTGACTGGGAGGATAGTGGTATGCCTGACAGTAATAGGAAAGTTAGGCAGAGGGGAGGGTTAGGGGGCATGGGCAAAGATAATGAGTTCCATTTTTGGACATGTTGAGTTTAAGATGTCTATGGGACATCTAGCTTTAGATGTCCCATAGGCAGTTGAAGGTGCAAAATTGGATTTAGGAGAGAGTTTAGGGCTGGACAAATAAAATTGAGAATCATCTGTATAGAAATGATAATTTAATTTGATGGGATCATCAAGTACGAAGAAAAGGGCCTACAGCAGAGCCTTGGGGGACACTCATGATTGGCAGGCATGGATGAAGATCCAGCAAAGGAGAGTCAGAAGGAGTGATCAGATAAGGTAGAGGAAAAAACCAGGAGAGAACTATGTTAATAATAACCCTGAGAGAACAGAATATCAAGGAATGGAGGGTGACTTAGAGTCTCGAAAGGTCCCAGGCAACAGGATAGAGGGAGAGAATGCCATGAAAGTTTGAGGAAGGATGAAAAGGTATCGAAAGGCTGTTGTGTTAAAAGGAATAGTTTATCAATTGAGAAGGTATGAAAGGATTGTTTTGCTGCAGTTGAGATTGTATAGCTAATTTGTAAAAAATTTCCATATTAGCCATGTTACAAAAGTAAAACAAAACAATAAAAAGCAAGAAATATAAAAGAAAGTGAAATAAGTATGCTTCAAACTACACTCAGGTGTCTTTCTAGTCATAAATAGCATTTTTCATCATGAGTCCTTTCGAATTGTCTTGGGTCATTGTATTTATTGATCATCTAAGTCTTTCATAATTGATCATCGTTACACTATTGCTGTCGCTGTGTATAATGTTCTCCTGGTTCTGCTCACTTCATTTTGCATCAGTTCATACAAGTTTTCCCAGGTTTTTCCATTACATTAATATACCACCACTTGTTTAGCCATTCCCTAATTGATGAACAACCCATCAATTTCCAATTCTTTGCCATCACAAAGAAAGTTACTATAAATATTTTTGTACATATAGGTGCTTTCGGTTTTTCTTTGATCTCTTTGGGATACATTCCTACTAGTGGTATTGCTGGGTCAAAGGTAATGTACAGTTTTATAGCCCTTTGGGTATAGTTTCAAATTATTCTCCACTAGACCACTTCACAACTCCAGTAGTTTATTAGTGTACCTATTTTCCCACATTCCCTCTAGGATTTATTATTTTCCTGTTCTGACATATTAGCCAATCTGATAGGTGTAAGATGGTACCTCAGAATTTGCATTTCTATAATCAATAGGGATTTAGAGCACTTTTTTGTGTGACTATTGATAGCTTTGATTTCATCCTCTGAAAAACTTTGTATCCTTTGACCATTATCAATGGGGGAATGGCGCTTATTTTTATAAATTTGGCTCACTTCCCTACATTTTTGAGAAATGAAGCCTTTCTCAGAGAAACCTGCTATAAATCCATCCCAGTTTTCTGCTTTCCTTCTAATTTTGGCTGCATTGGTTTTGTTTGTGTAAAAACATTTTAATTTCGTGTCAAAATTATCTATCTTACTTCCTATGATCCTCTCTGTCTCTTGTTTGGTTGTAAACACTTCCCTTATCCAAAGATCTGACAGATAAAATTTTCTATGCTCCCCTAATTTGCTTATGATACCCCCCCTTTTGTGATTAAATCATGTGCCCATACCTTATCTTTGTATACCAGTTTGAGATATTGGTCTATGCCTAGCTTCTGCCAAACTGCTCTTCAGCTTTTCTAGTAATTTTTGTGAAATGATGAATTCTCGTGTACAGCATAAATATGTAGTGATCCAGTCAGCACTGTGCAAGGATTTTCTCTAACTGTTCAGCAACGTATGAACACAAACAAAAGCAATGGGTGATGGGAGGAACACAAGACAGGACCTTGGACGGCGTGATCAGTGAGAGTGTAAGGGGGCATGGAACTTGAATGCAGTGGATAGTGTAGAGGTGATGTGGTTCACTAAAGGGTTGAAACAGGGAAAGGAGGAGAGGGCAGGTGCAGGGGTGATGGGCTGGGGGGAAAATGAGGGGTGGAGAGATCAGAAGTCATGATGAGGACAAAGAACAGGGTTAGGAACCATAAGACAGAGGGAAAGATAGAATGAAAAAGAATTATGATCAGAGAAAAGGAATTTCACAGTTCATGAACATGGAATTGGCACACTTGTGAGTGATGGCAAGGTAAAGTGTATGAGTGTCGCTGTGTGTAGCTAAAGTGGACTGGAGGAGTAGATTTTGGGAAATGAGTTAATTGAGGAACTAGGAAGTTAGAGTGTTTGAGAGTAATTATAAATCTCTCTTTGTCTGTCTGTCTCTGTCTCTGTATCTCTGTGTGTCTCTCTGTCTCTGTCTCTCTCTCTGTGTCTCTGTCTCTGTCTCTCTCTGTTTCTCCCTCTCTCTCTCCAGAGGTTCCAGTCAGGCACTGAACTCATTGAGGATGAAAGGAGAACATTCTGGGAATCAGTAGATAACAGTTACCAGAATCTTGATCGGGTGATCAATTTAGATGAGATGATCCTAAAAAGGAGGAAAGGTTACTGGGTAATGGTGGTAGAGGGAGAGTCTGAAAGCGGTGATGGGAAACAAGAAATATTCCAACTCCCCCACCAATGAGTAGAGGGTTGTGTGAGGCCACCCTGGGAAGGGTGGCCAGTTAACAGGAAGGAGCTAGATCTCAGTGTGTGCCAGAAGGGGAAGGAGTAAGAAAAGGAAAATTTTTAATGTGAAAGCTGTTGGTTACCTATGGAGCATCCCAGAGACCACAATGCAAGGAGTGGGTAGAGTGATTCTTGGAGTGATTCTTGAGAGAGTAGGGTTTAAGGGGATTGGAGTAAGGGAGCAAGCAGTGGAGGATGGGGAATGGGGTTTGTATAATGACCACCTGGGGTCAGAATCACTGGAATGGGGAGACTATGACAGGGTAAGAATATGTTAATCATTATATGCTCTAAATATGCAGCACTATCTGGTAGCATTTTTTTCCTCCCACACAATGAGCATTTCTCACACTTCTTGGTGACATTTGAGGCCATCTTGGGCCAGTAAAATCTGTTCCTTATTAGTTCTAGGGCCCTTTTTTGACCCATATGTCCAAAGTCATTATGTAGGGACTGCTTCATTTTTGTTTTCCTATCCTTAGCATTTAGCATAAGGACTGGCACATAATAGATATTTAGTAAATGAATGTTTATTGATTGATTGAGGTGGGGACTATGAACCAGAGAGGTAAGCAATTCCCCACAGTGATCCTGCCTTTTGCCGCTGTAAGAGTCTCTTGTCACAAGGGCAGTAGAAGGAACCTTAGTGGTCATATAGTACAATCCGTACCTGAGAAAGAATTCCCAGAGCAGCAGCCCAGATAATTGTTTATCCAGTCCATGCTTGGAGACCTCCAGTGAAGAAGAACTTATTACCTCTTGAGGCAACCCACCCTATTTTATTTTTTAATTAATTAAAAAAAATGAATGGATATTGATTTTCTCTCCCACCTAGCCCTGCCCCATTGGGAGTGTGGAACAATTCATTGTGACAAATACGTATAGTCAGTCATGCAAAACAAATTCCTTCATTGACCATCCTGTAAAATGAGAGGGAAAATGAAGTAGCCTCTAAGATCTAGTTTAGGTATAGTTTCCAGGAAAAGGGAAGTAATAATCTCACTGTACTCTGACCTTGTTAGACGTCACATGGAGTATTGTGTTCGGTTCTGGGCACCACAGTTTAAGGACATCGATAAGGTGGGGAATGTCCAGAGAAGGACCACTCAGTGTACATGTCATCTAAAGGTTGGTTAAAGAAACTGGGAGTGTTTATTCTGCTAAAGAGTTGATTCAAGGAGGCCATATTGGCTCTTCTCAAGGAGGTGAAGGGTTATCCTGTGGAGGAAGGCAGACTTGTTCTGTTTTCCACCTGAGGGAAAAAAATAGGCGCAATGGGTAAAAGTGGCTAAGAGGCAAAGTAAGGGTAAATGTCGGGACAAACTTCCCCAAAATTAGTGCGATCCAAAAGTGGAGTGAGCTGCCTCAAGATGTAGTGGGGTCCCTGTCTCGGAGGTCTGTAGGTTGAGGTTATTTGACTATTTGTCAGATATGTTATAGTGATTAAAGTGTATATGAGTTGGACCAGATGCGCAATGCGGTCTGTTCCAACTCTCATGCTTTTCACTTTTGTGATTCTCTCCTAGTTCTAAATCTACGAGCAATAAAATGTTAAGTTTCTCAAGAACAGGGACTATTTCTGTTTTTTTTTCTCCTTTCTATTTCCAGCACCTATCACAGAACCTCAAATATAGTAGGTGAATGAATGAGTGAAAAATCATGTATTAAGCACTTACATATACTGAGTTATTTCCATCTTGTCTCCCCCATTAGAAATGTTCACTTTTTGCTGGGGGGGAGCGCTATTTTTTTTTGGCCTTTCTTTTTGTCATCTGTGCTTAGCACAGTACTAGGCACCTGTTTAATTTTTTTACATATTTATTGACTGAATGACTTTCAGGCATGGTGCTAAGTACTGGAGATATAATCAAACAAGTCATTCCTTGCCCTTAAGGAGCTTACGGTTTAATGAAGGCAGACAATACTTATAGGGGAGCCAGAGTTAGGAAGGAGGGGGAAATTGGCCAAGTTTTAGTGGGATCAGGGATATGCTGGTAAATGTTTAACAACTGGCTCTCAAAAAATCTACACAGAGACACATTTTTGTTTTTGTTTCTGGAGGCAATCAGGGCTAAGCGACTTGTCCAGAGTCACATTGCCAGAGCCACACTTTTAACTTTAATATGCATCATTAACATTTTCTCCATCACTTTCTTAAGTCTTTATAATCAACAAAAAAGTAACTCAAACTCTTATCTGTATCATTTAGAGATTTCAGAGATGTAACTGCTCACACTGAAAATTCAACACTGGCAGTGGTAAGCCACATGAGTCAGTTCCAGAATGCTCCTGGCTGGAATGCTTTGGTGTTAGCTGGAAAGTGCCATGGGAGGCTGGTTCTGGGCAAGATGAAGGGAAAGCTCACCTACCAGGGCCCAGGCGCGGCAGTCGGAGTCCCAGTGAGAGGCAGAGGACCTGAGCAGCTGAGACCTGGTTTGGAGCTGGCTAAGAAGGTGCTCAATTAACTGCTTGGTGAATTAATCCACTAAAGCTATTTTGCCTACTTCTGGTCTTGCTGTAGCTCCCTTCTTCCGTTCTTCCCCTGTCATGAGGCCTCAATGTAAGAGGGGAGTATGGTGTCAAGTTGTAAATTACCAACTTAAGATTGCCTGCCCCTGTCACCTGCAGTCACATGACCGCAGGGATCCACGGAATCTATCTTCTAAGTCCTGAGGCATAAGTCTTTAGGGACATGGCAAAGAAGGGGGACGGGGGATCCTTAGGTCCAGTGTACGGTTTTCTTTCCATCCAGTGCATCCAAATGTTCCTTGGTCTGTTGACCTGGGGATCCTAGTGTCTTAAAGCCAAATCCGACATCACCTGCAGCTGAGAGAAGGGTGGGGTGAAATATGTGCATCCCAGCTGGTTGCATTCAGGCAGCCAGTGCGTGGGTAGGGCTGGGTTGGACTAAAGGCTCAGCTGGATTTTCCTGGCTCCTTCCAGGAGCTGCAGTTCAGTTAGCCAAGTGAGTGACTGCCCAGGACGTCACTGAAGACACCTCCTCCCGCCCTGGCCAAAGAGGCACAGTTCAAGGGGCTGATGAGACTGAATTAGCTCTCCCTGGGGTTTTTGTTTTGCTTAGCATTTATATATGCTTAAGGACTGCAAATCACTTTACAAATATAGCATTTTATCCTCACAACAACCCTGGAATACAGGTGCTGCTACTATCCCTATATTACAGATGAGGAAACTGAGGCCAGAGATTGAGGGACTTACCCAGGGTCATATAGCTAGTAAGTGGCTGAGGCTGGCTTTGAACTCAGGTCTTTCTGACTCCAGTGTTCTATCCACTGCGTTACCTAGCTGCCCTTTCCTTGAACCATGTTTAAAAATTACCATCCACGGGCAGTTAGGTGGCATGAAGAGCAGAGTACTCCCTCTCTCACACTGTGCCTTCTTCCTGCCTGGCTTTGGAAACTCTTGTCCAGGAAAGTTACCCTTGTGGACATGTGACCTGGCTATGTCCTTTGCAGGTGCTGTAGCCTTCTTAGCAGCCACAGCTTCTAAGGCCCAGAAAGGAAAGTCCTTACCACCAAATTCCTTGGCCCTGTTGAATGGTTCAGCATCACAAAGTGGTATGCTTTTATTAGTGGAAATCCATTTTAAAGGATGCATTACCATCAGCTTTACCACTACAACCTCAGCATCATGAGGACTTGCCATTCATCCTGCAATTGAAACCTACTCTATCACTGTCCCCTCATTAAAACGTGAACTCCTTGAGAGCAGGGGCTGTCTTTTGCTTTTTTATTTTTACACTGAGCACTTAGCAAAGTGCTTTGCATATAGTAAGAACTTAATAAATAGCTTTTTTCATTCATTCCTCTGTTTGTTCATTCATTCCTCCTTCCTTTCTCTCTCCCTCCCTTCCTCCCTCCCTTCCCTTTCTCCCTCCCTACTTCCTTCATCCCTCCCTCCTTCCCTCCTTTCTTCCTTCCTCCCTTCCCTTTCTCCCTCCTTCCTTCCTTCCTTCCTTCCTTCCTTCCTTCCTTCCTTCCTTCCTTCCTTCCTTCCTTCCTTCCTTCCTTCCTTCCTTCCCTCCTCCTTCCCTTCTTCCTTCCTTCTTGAATTCAGTGGATAAAGGGACAAAACTTTTGTTTGCTATAGCTAAGGTTTAAATATTTTATTCCTTAAATTACTATCCATTAGAGGCTTCAAATCTTCATTATCATATACCATCCCCCAATCCCTCTCTCCCACCCCCCACTAAATAAATGCCTCCTACCACCAAAAGAAGAGTTTATAAGAGTGAGAGTCCACCTCACTCCATTTGAACAGAGGAAGCAGACTTTTAGATTGAATCAATCAATCAGAAGTATAAACTAGCTATGAATTATCAGTGAAAGGAGTGAAGTACCTTTGAGCTGTTGGATGAAAGCAAATGACTCCATACAGGAAATGTCTTGTGATTGGCTGGGGAGAATCAATCATGTCCTGAGGGCTTGTGTAAAAGCATTAAGCCATTTTGGAATCCAGTATTCCAGTGGTGGGCCAGCCCAGTGGTAGAACAGCTTCATCTAAGCCCCTGAAACAAAATTACTTGGGAGTGGGGATAGTCACCCTTTGGGCACTTGACATGCCAAGTTGAATAGTGACTCTGGAAGGGAGAGTGAGACTGACAACTTTGTGCAGCTCTGCCGCATTTAAACCCAATTTTCACTCCAGTCAAGATATCACCCTATGATGTCCTTGGTCCTCTTTGAAAATGAAGGACAAACAACAACAAACAGGACTTGGGAAGCAGCCTCAGGGACTGTGCTACACTGGCATTAAAAATATCCAGTGTGATTTTATCCTCCACTAAAATCCTCTTCTAGTTTGGAGGGGATCCTGGATTTTAGAAGGTTAAGACAGAGGTACAAAAACTCTTGCAGGTCCTACCAAGCTTAGGGACATTTTGGATACCATCCAAGGCCTTGAATGGTCTTTTTGTTTTCTGGGGAGTAGAGAGGGGCTGTGATCTGTACCAGGATCAAGAGTACTCTTGATGGTGAGACCATAGATTAATAAAGCATTGAATTATGCCATTTATCTTAAAATAATATTAAAAAAGATGCAGCATGGTATTGTTGATAAGAAAGCTAGCCCTGGCATCAGAAAGATCTGGGCTCAAGTGTCCACTCTTGCTATATGACTCTGGGCAAGTCACTTAACCTGAGAGAGAGAGAGAGAGAGAGAGAGAGAGAGAGAGAGAGAGAGAGAGAGAGCACCCCCAGGTAACTCTGTAAGACAAGAAGTAGCAGCATAGGTATCCATCTGCATTGGTTGAGAAAGTTCCTTATAGGTTACTCTCTACATGAATGAAATCATGAATCTGACTGAAAAAAAAAAATTAAAGGGGTCCATGTTGTCCGCCATCCTCTCTGTGCCACTCTGAATGATTACCTATGTTACCTTCTAGTAAAAGCTCTGATGCTTGGGGTCACACCTCAAGTGTTTCCAGAGAGGTGAGGAACATGGCATCTTTCCACTTGTAGGCAGCCCTTTTTCCAATTTAATCAGAATCACCTGCAAATCCTGACTATCTCCTAAAGGACAGAAGGAAATAGGTTTTTTTTGTTTTTTTGTTTTTTTGTTTTTAGTGAGGCAATTGGAGTTAAGTGACTTGCCCAGAGTCACACAGCTAGGAAGTATTATGTGTCTGAGGCCAGATTTGAACTGAGGTCCTCCTGACTCCAGGGCTGGTGCTGTATCCACTATGCCACCTAGCTGTCCCAAAATAAACATTTATTAAGTGCCTGCTACATACTAAGCACTGTGTTAAACACCTTACAAATTTGATCTCACAACAACCCTGGGAGATACTATTATCCTTATTTTACAGTGGAGGAAACTGAGGTAGGCAGAGGTTAAGTGACTGCCCAAGGCTACTTACATAGCTAATGAGTGTATAAAGTCAAATTTGAACTCAGGCCCTCCTGACTTGAGATCTGGTGTTGTGTCCACTGTGTTACCTAGCTACTTAGGTCTTAAGAGTGATCTTAATGCCTTGGTGGGGGGAGGATAAAAAAAAATCACTCTTCCTTTGGAAAAATTTTGGGATTCCTATTAAGTAAAGTTCAGATTCCTTTGGTTGTCCTTTGTGGAGGTCCTCCATAGTCTGGCGCCACCCCAACTGTCCAGTCATACCTAATTTTATTCTCTTGCATCTACTGTATGCCATAGCTCATCTGAATAGAAGAACATGATGGTGCTAGCTTTGGAGTCAGAATCTCAGTTAGAATCCTGGCCGTGTCACTTACTACTAGTTTGGCCTTAAATAAGGAGGCCGTATTAGATGAACTCTGAACTGATGAACTCTGAGTGCAGATGGAAGCATATTTTTTCACTTTATTTTTCTTGCCTTTTTTAACAACAATATGGCTAATATAGCAATATGTTTCACATGACTTCACATGTATAATGGGTATCATATTTCCTGCTTTCTTAATGAGTAGGGAAGGGGCTGGTGGGAGGGGGATAATTTAGAACTCAACATTTTAAAAAAGAATGTCGAAAAAGTAACAAACAATAAAGAAAATGGAATTTTAAAACAAGGATCACTGTCGCACAGTGGTAAGCGTACTAGACTTGGAAAAAGGAAGGCCTGGATTGTAATCTTACCACAGATATTCACTAGCTGTGATGTTGGGTAAGCCATTTAAACCTCTTTGGGTCTCAGTTTCCTCATCTGTAAATGAGGGAGTTGGGCCCTATGACCTCTAGTATCCCTTCTACCTTTACATTTATGAACATGAGATGTATCCTTTTCCACTTTCTCATGCTGTTCCCCAGGGCTCCATGTCCCCTCCTCCTTTGGTGATGGCTTGCCCACTGATAGGTTAAAATCCAACTCAGATACTCTCACCTCTAGGAAGTCTTTCCTGATTCTCCCATTGGTAATAACCTCCCCTCTTCCCACCGGTTCCACTCTTCAGGTAATACTTTGGATCGGTGTTACTTATGTATGTGTTATCTCTTGCCTAGACTATGATCTCCATTAGGGGAAGGACGTAACTGTCTCCCAGAGCTACTCCCTAACCATGTGACGTTAGACAAGTCACTTAACCTATTTAAGGCTCAGTGTCCTCATCTGTAAAATGAGGGGGTTGGAAAAGCTAACTCTAAGGTCCATTCCAGCTTTAAATCTATGATTGTATAATAGTAAATAATAATAATAATAATAATAATAGCTAGCATTTATATAGTACCTACTGTGTGCCAGGTACTTTACAAATATTACAACCCTGGGATGTAGGTGCTATTATTATCCCCAATTTACAGATAAAGAAGCAGAGGTTAAATGACTTGCCCAATGTCGCACAGCTAGGAAGTATCTGAGGCTGGATTTGAACTCAAGTCTACCTGACTTCAGGCCTACTGCTCTATCCATTGCACCATCTAGCTGTATCTATAATTCTTATAGTAGTTTAACACATACATAGGAGATGTCTTATTAGATAAAAGCATTTAAGGCTGTTTTTTCACTTTCCTGATCATGTTTCAGGCTAAGAACCAATGCTAAAAACTTCCCCTGACATACACCTACCCCCACACACATACTTATACATACATATGTGCATATATATATATATATAATATGTACACACACACATATTTGTGTACACATATAGTCCACCTTACCTATATGTAATAGTGAAACAAGACAAATATCTTGAAGGGCCTAGTTGCTTTCCTTACCATGACCCTCAAAAAGTTAGAGCTATGTTGTCCTTTGTATTCCCGCCCCCCACCCACACACTTGATATGCTGCTTTACCTGCAGCAGCAATTAATAAATGCTGGCTGAAATCCAAAGTGAATATTGCAAAATTACAAAAACAAGCATTTCCCCAAAGAAAATATGTGAGATGACACCTGACCTTGCCCCTCCTTCGAGAAGTGGGAGGCCCATAGATGTGGAACACTGCACGTATTTTTCAGATTTTTTCCCCAATGTATTGATTGGTTTTGCTGACTGATTTTTTTCTTCTTCCTTTTCTTTTTTCTTTTAAAATATTTGTTATGTTGGATGGCTCTCTGGGAGGAAGGAGGGATCTGGGAAAAGATTAATATAAACATAAAAATTTAAAAATATTAAAAATAAAATTAATATAAAAGGTAACAAAATAAAATATATCAATAATTTTAAAAAAATGCTAGTTGAATTAAACTGTTTCCTGCTTCAAGTCATAGCCCTTTGTGAGCTCATCTTCCACACTGGATTAGTTTTTCTAATACCTGTCCTCTTCTTTTGAAATGTTGACATTGGCTCTTCCAGTCCAGTGAGAGAGAAAAATTCCCCAGAGCCCACAGCTGTGGCTTAGTTTTCATCACTTTTCTTCATCTGATCAGGCGTCTGTCTGCCAAGGTCCCTCTCGACAGCATTTCTTTCAGCCAACTGACTGTAATCTAAAACATCTCTCCATCTGGGGCTTCATAGTGAGAAAAGAAGTGTTGGGTCTCTCTGAGCTTGGCCCCAAATTGGCCAGATCTGAGGCCTTCAGAGACCCTGTGAGGCTTTAGCTCTACTCACCTAACCACAGCATCCCTAGGTCCCTAACCATGAGGGGGCTATTTGCTCTGCCACTTGGGCCCAGAGAAATGTCTAGAAGGCAAAAAAAAGCAATGATATATAGGGGAGTTGTCTAATTGGGGCTATTGCTAATTGGTCCTTTAATGAGCAGTGATGATTTCTTTCCCCACTCCCACCCTCAATTTAACAAGCTTTGGTTCATCTGGAGCAGGCTGGTGCTGAAGGATTAATTAATTCTAATGATTTTTAAGGAAAATTTTGCTGCAGAAAATATGATGTAAGTGAGGACATTTTGATTACCTAGTTGGATGTTGGCAGAAAGCTGTACTCTTTCCGCCCCCTTCCCCATCTCCTTCTTTTCCTGTCCCTTGCTTCCTTCAGACTAATAAAGACGGAGAAAGAAGAAATACAAATTACAAGATGAGAATGATATTTTCTTAAAAGAATTGGCCCAATGCCTTCTGCACATTGGTATATTCCCCACCTCCCATCCCATCTGGGTCTGTTTTAAATGATCATATCTCATGATGATACAGTGATTTATAATTACAGCACTCTGGAGCTGGAAGGAGCGTCAGAGGGCAGCTGGTCCTAATCCAACTCCCTCCTTTTACAGATGAGGAAACTGAGGCCCACGAAAGTTGAGTCACTTGTGTAAGGAAACACAAGTAAATAAGAATCAGGCAGGATGTGAATGGAAATCCTCTGACCCCCAAAGCCATTCACTGCACCATGCTGCCTGCAAAGATCTTGAGATTGCTAAGATCTCATTTGATACTCATACAACTTTAAGTCACATCTATTTCACAGATGAAAAGACTGAAGCTCTGAGGGGCTGAGTAGTGCCTCACTTGCCCAAAGTGAATGACGCTGCCCTGAGGGATCCTTCACTTAGTAAGCAAGAGTCAGAGCTCCTCTGTACCAGAGAGGCCAAAGATGCTAAGGTGCCGTATCCTTGGCCACAGGAAGTGTCTCAGCTGCTTAAAGTAGTAAAGAATGAGCCTAGGGACAAGGACAGCAGCAATGAAGCCAGGAACAGTCTAGTCCCAGGGTGGGGAACCTTTGGCCTTGAGGCCACCTGTGGCCCTCTGGGTCCTCAAGTGCGACCCTTTG